AGCAAAGCCGAGAGCAGAGGCCGGGCCAGGGCCTCCGTTGCGAGGGTGAACATCCTTGAAGAAGAATCTTGCTGGGGGCAGGGAAGGGGGTGTGAACTGGATTCCCCCCCCCCTTTTAATGGCAGTGACAAGATGTTCTGTGAATGTGTCTGCGAAGGACTGTTTCCCTTACGGACACGTGCCCTTTCCTTGGCCTTTGAAAATGCTTTCTGTGTCCCTGAGAGGCTAATAATGTAAATGAAGATCAGATCCGCACTGGGTAATTGAGAGCAGAGACAAGGGCCGTGTTAAGTCAAATTAATTTGCTCGCCTACAGTCCCGGCCTGGCCCCACGGGAGGGGGAGAGGCTTTTTGATGGGCTCAGGGGGACGATGAAGGTGCGGGTCTCCGCAGTTTGCTGTGGTCCTGCAAGACTTCTGAAGGTGGGTAGGGGGCTGGATAAGCGGTTCTGACACTGGGAGACATAAGGAGGGGGTAAGTGTGTGTCTCAAGTTGGAGGGAGTCTGCACCCCTCTCCTGCTCTGTATATCTTAAAACAAAACACCCGTTGATATCAAGTCCTTCTTCCTGGGGCCTCCAATGTTCATGTGTCTGAACCGGGAGGCAGTTGTGATCTCTTTAGATCACGCAAAAGCTAGGATCTAGCTCCTCAGAGATGCCCCAGGGCCCTTGCACTGTCACTTGGTCTATATTGAGGAGGGTGACTGACCTGCTAGGTGGCACCTGACGGAGGGGTTCTGATAAGCCTTGCACCCAGCACCAAGAGGGTTCACAGGAGGCCCCTGCACACCTGTCCCTGTGACGTCACAGACAGAGGTGCCCCTGGCTTCCTCCAGGCGGCCTAGCCTGGCCTGAGGGTGTCAAGAAGAAGGCACAGGGTGTCCTGTTCCTTTTACCTGGGCCAGGTGCTACTTCTGCAGGTACTTCTTCATGATACTCTCCACATCCTCCCCTCTGATCCCCGGATCTCTGCTCTCTGGCGCCGGCTGCTCCCCGCCGTCACCCTGCAGTCTCAGGATCCTCGGCCGGCTCTTGATGCTGTCAGCACTCTTGAAGGACAGGCCAGAGGATGAGGATGAGTCAGAGAGGTGAGCGGAGTCTTCCCTGGGCTTCGGGCTTCTCGGCAAAGCGGCGCTGAGCCCCGAGAGAAAGGAGCAGTCGGCCTCTTCTGTCTCATAGTTGATGCTGGGAAGCTGTGCACCCTCTTGTCCGTCCTTGGATGCTGCGGACAAGGAGATGGGGGTCCCCGGCTTCCGGATGGCTGGGAGGAAGTCATCGAAATCCACTCTGCTCTTGCGTTCGTAATGCAGGCTCGGAAGCTTCCAGCTGAACGGGTCGCTGTCCAGAGGGGCCTCCGCGAGCTGAGAGTACTGGCGGTTCTGGAAGATGAGGGGCTGTGCCCCCAAATCTGGACAGCTGGCGTCTTCCAGTGAGGCGTCTAGACACGGCCTCCGGGGACGCAGTGTGGGGGACAGGATGGGATCTCGGGATGTGGTCGGGGAGTGTGGCTTCCTCCGCAGGCTGGACCCAGGCTCTAGAAGGGACTCACAGGAACTGAAGCGGGTCTTGATCTTCTCAGGGGGCGGCGTGGTGGACCCCATGCTGTCAGAGGAGATGCATCGAAGGCTGGTGGACCGCAGGAGGCCTGCAGGGCCCTCCAATTCCAGGGGGGACTGTGCCCCCAGCTTTAGTGAGAGGTCGCCCTCGTCACTGCGGGCTTTGGCCCTCCGCAGCGTGGACGCCCCGGTGGTCTGGTAGATGGGGAGGGTGGGCCAGTCCTCCAGGCCCAGAGAAGACCCCTGTCCCTGCTGGGCCCTCTTCTTGCGCAGGCCTTCCACAAACTCGGAGAGGGCGGCTGAGGGGCTGGGCAGCTTGGCTCCCGACACTGGGGACATCTCTCTGCTCTTCGAGGATCCAGCATCTAATTTCTCCCTGCTGTTCCTTTGGGCGCCAAGCCCTTCCCCATCCCCGAAGTGGTGATACTTCGGCTGCGGTGAGGGGCAGGGGGACCGGTCCCCAGGGGTCTTGCGGCGGGCTCCCCCAAGCCAGGATCCTGCTCTGGTGGTCCTCTCAGCATCCCCAGCCTCCTCGTTTGTCCTGTGCCAAGAAGGGGGGAAAGAAATGCCATCAGGGGAAAGTGACAATGCAATCTGAGTGATGGGCGTGGTGCCCCTAAGCCTGGGCACAAAGTCAGATAATCAAAATGCTGTCCCTACTGCACTGCTCAACAGAGCGCGTGATCTCATGCACAAATTGGAGCCAGATACCAGGTTCCTTTTGCTTTTGGGAATGCAATTTCTGTCTCTAATTAAACCCAGCTAAGTGTGTTCGAGTCGATTAAAGCTGTGGAGATGATGGATGGCTTAGATTTATGAGGCGGCGGGCTGACATGATGGGCCCCATCTTCCTGAAGCCTACTGTGAAAGCCGTCATTTGCTTCTAGAAGCCTCCAGGGGGACCCCCCAGGGGGTGCTTATTTATTTAGTCTAGAAGACAGGCCCACCAAATTGGACTTTTGAGAGTCAATGACTCAAACATGTGCCTGACACCCCCGTCTGGTGGTTTCTTGCAGGGGGGGAGGGCTCAGAACAGCTCCCCAAAGGGAGAGGAAATTACATAGCAGTCGATTTGAAAGGAAGATGCCATACAATGAATTCACTCACTGCTTTGGAGTCAGATCTGACTCGTTGCTGGCCCTCCAGTGGGTTTTGGAGGCTGCGAATTGCACTGGAGATTGCCCCGCTTTCTTCCTGAGGAGCTGCTGGTGGATTCGAACCACGTACCTTTAGGTTAGCAGCTCGACTACCTAAGAAGTTAGCACAGCAGAGAATATCTGGTTTCCATTCCTGGACAGAACCAGGCTAGACTCTTGTGCACAGGAGTCTGCAAGAGCTGAGCCAAACATGCGAGGTCTCGGAACTCAGAGCCTCCAAGTGGGTCAAATGCCAGACCTTATTTTACACAAAGAGCATCATTGAGAGGAGAGAGGTTTGAGTTCTCCAAGCTTCCTGGGTTTTTTTTTTTAATCTATTTGTCCTCCTTGGAAGCGAAGTGCCTCTCTTTGCCCAACAGCAAAGCTACAACTGACAAAAAAAGAAACTCAAAAGGGTGCCAGGTGTGCAGAGGACAAAGCCAGGCAGGAGGGACCTGAGCAAAGGCGGAAGTGGTGTGTGTGTGTGTCCCGGTTTCCAGTTTTCATGCCCATGTGGCTGCAGTCACGTTGTTGGAACTCCAGGGATCAGGGTGATGGGGGGCTCAGTGGTCTGCACAGAAGGGCGGCTGCGAAGGGGAAGTGGGGCATCTTGGTCGCCACCCTCACCTGCAGCCCGGAGTGCCGCAGTGGTGCAATAGTTAAGAGCTTGGCTGAAACTGTAAAGGCCAGTGGTTCGAGCCTGCCAGTAGCTCTGCTGCAAAGACCTTGGCGACATGACCCTGTGAAGGGTCCAGCCCAGAAACCCACCCGGGACAGTCTGACTTTGTCTCAGGGGGTGGATGACTCAGAATCGGCTCAGCAGCACCCACTGATAAAACGGAACAGAGGAGAAGGGCAAAGAATGACCCTTGAAGGCCAGAGAGGTTCTTGGCTCTGGAAAGAAAGCTAAGCTAAAGATGTCTGCAGGTGATGCCTGTGGGGGGAGAGCGGGGTGCAGGGAGGGTGAGGGTCCCAGGAAGGGAGAGCAGGGTGCAGTGAGGGTGGGGGGTGTCCCAAGAGAGGAGAGTGGGGTACGGCAAGAGACGGGGTCCCAGGAGAGGAGAGTGGGGTGTGGTGAAGGTTGGGGTCCCAAGAAGGGAGAATGGGCTGCAATGAGAGTTGGGCATCCCAGAAGGAGAGAGTAGGGTACAGTGAAGACTGGGGGTCCCAGGAGAAGAGAGAAGGGTACAGTGAGGGTAGGGGGTCCCAGGAGAGTTAAGAGGGTTACAATGAGGTTGGGGATCCCAGGAGGGGAAAGCAGGGTGCAGTGAGGGTTAGGGGGCCCCCAGGTGAGGACAGCAGTTGGTGGCAAGGGTGGGCGATTATGAACTCTTTCAGGGCTGCAGAGATGCCTTGCCCTGCTCTCCTGAGCTCCTGCAGGCCAAGACATCAGTCCTTTAGCTCTGAGTTGGCTGGAGCCTTCTCAGGTCTGGGCCCTGCGGGACATCAAGGTGATGGGCGTGCTAAAGGGGCGGCGAGCTAGCTGTGCTCACCTCCCTGTCCTTATTCTCACTGCTGCGGTGTAAGGGTCGGTGTTGTGATCTGGGGATGTTGAGAGACCCAGTATGCTCCCTCATCCACCCTCCATCCTCTCGCCTGGACCCCTGCTCTCCCCTCCCCACCCTCCTGTCTCCTGCCTTGCTCTCTCTCTTCCTCTGTTCCTGCAGTCCCCCCCACTGGCCCCCTCCTGAGTCTCCAGGGACCTGCCAAGGCTTTCCTTTTTTGCAGGCTCTGCTGTTTGCTGTTTGCTTTGCAGAAGCTCCGCTCACAGCTCCCCCCACTCCCAGGTCACAGTGATGCCTCCTGCAGAGCTTAAAACCCCCTAGTGAACCAATTGCTAGAGAGCCAATGTGGACCCAAGGTGACCTCACATGGGACAGCATACAGCTGTTACATCAGGCTCACTTGACTGTAGTCTAGGAGCGGTGTGCTACAATCCCTAAGGTATGTGGTTCAAATCCACCAGCTGCTCTGTGGGAGAAAGAGGGGCAATCTCTATGGGTCGGTTCTGACTTGATGGCAAACAACAGCAATCCACAACAACAATTCTTACAGAAGCAAGTTACCAAGTCTTGGTCCTACAGGGCTTCTGGGTGGATTTGAACTGCCAACCTTTAGGCTAGTGGTAGAGTACCCCCACTTGCACCATCCAGAAATCTATGGGGAGGTTCATCTACTCTCTCAAGTCCATCTGGACTCATGATGACCTTTCAGACAGGAACTGTTCTATATTGTTTTCTTGGCTGCAAGTTGGGTTTTGGGTTGTGTTTTTTGTTTTTGTTTTCTAGAGGCATTGGCTTTTAATTTAAAACTGTATCCTTCCCCCTCTCATAGGTTTGTTGGTTTGTTTGTTATTTATTATACTAGTTCGGTGATGAAGGAAGAAGTTCAAGCTGCTCTGAAAGAATTTGCAAAAAACAAGGCCCCAGGAATAGATGGTATACCAATTGACATATTTCAACAAACAGACACTGCCCTGGATGTGCTCACCAAGTTGTGCCAAGAAATCTGGAGGACAACAACCTGGCCAACTGACTGGAAGAGATCTATATTTGCTCCCATTTCAAAGAAGGGTGATCTGATAGCGTGGAAATTATCAAACAGTATCATTGATATCACATGCAAGCAAGATTCTGCTGAAGATTATCCAAAAACGACTGGAACAGCACATCAACAGAAAACTGTTCCTTCCCATTTCCCTAATCCCCACAAACTATGCAACCCCCTGATTAATCCCCCCTCCCCACACCCTCACTCCTCTGCTTCTACCTTCCCCCTACTTTGGATTCTCATACTCATTCTATAATAATGGCCTTATACAGTATTTGTCCTTGTGGGACTGAGTTAGTTCACTCAGCATAATGCTCTCCAGCCCCACTCAAGTTAGGTAATAATTTACAAAATTATTGCTCCTGTGTACTATTGTGTGAATGTACTATAATTTCTCAATCCATTCAATTGTGGTTTGATGTCTCCATGTTCTTGCGATGGTGAATAACACTGCTATGAACACTGGTGTACAAGTCTCCTCAGTTCTCATTTCTCAGGGTATATTCCAAGCAGTGGAATAACTGGGTCATATGGAATTTCTATGTTCAGTTTTTTTTTTTTTAGGAAACGCCAAAGTGCCTTCCAGAATGATTGCACCATTTTACAATGGCTGGAAGTTTTATGGGAGCAGATCACCAGGCCTTTCTTCCATGGGGAAGCAGGGCAGGTTCGAACCACCAACCTTTACCTTAGCTGTTGTCATGTGTGATCAAGTTGGAACTGACTCATAGCTCGCCGACCCTCTAGGGGGTTTTCAGAGACTGAAGTGAATGACTTGAGAAGAGACTGCCCATCTTTCTCCTGTGGAGCAACTGGTGGATTCGAACTGCCTGTTGGGGCTGGCAGTGCAACTCCTTATCCACTGGGCCATGAGGGCTCTCTACCATTCTTACCACCTAGGAAGCTCTGGTGGCCTAGTGGTAAGACGCTGCACTGCAACCCCAAAAGCACATGGTTCAAATCCACTAGCTGTTCCCTGGGGGAATGATGGGCAGTCTCCTCCCATGGGATTTACAGCCTCTGAAAACCCACTGGAGGGTCAGTTATGGGTTGGTTCCGACTCGATGGCCCACCACCACCACCACCACCACAACGGATCTTTTGAGTAGATTAAAAACCTCTTAGCACAGCATCTAATTACCCAACCAATGTTACAATTTATGATTATGGTAAATAATAATTGTTATTTACCGTCGAGTTGGAACTGACGCATAGCGGAACCTCTAGTGGGTTTTCAGAGGCTGTAAATTGCACGGGATTAGACCTCTCATTCTTCTCCTGTGGAGCAGCTGGTGGATTCAAAACCCAAACCTTTGGGTTGGCAGGACAACTCCTTGTTATCAATCATCAATAACAATTAAGAGCCCTGGTGGCCTAGCAGCAAGAAGCTAGGCTGTAATCCCGAAGGCACGTGGTTCGAGGCCACCAGCTGCTCCGTGAGAGAAGGATGGGCAGTCTCCTCCAGCGCAATAAACTGCCTCTGAAAACCCACTGGAGGGTCAGCTATGGTCCTTCTGAGGCAACGGTACACATACACAACAACATTAACAATTAACAGTTAAGCATTGTTGTTAGTCACCCTCTTTCTCTGGCTCTCTAACCTACCACCTGCCTCAAATGAAGGCTCAGGCAGAATTCTCCCGGGGCTGACAGGAGGATAGAGAGACAGGTGACCTTGGCCCTTGTCATTCCTAAGAAGAAGGATTAGGCCCGAGGTGCTCAGACAAAAGCCACACAATTTGCCTGAAGCAGCCGCCTCCTTTCCCATTTCCTGGCCGTCACCTCCCATCTCTGTCACCGGCTGGACGCAGGCTGGGGAAGGAGCCAGAGAGTGCGCCTTGATGATTACCTGAAG